GATGACCAGAAAATGTGGAGTATTTTTAATTACGCTTTAGGAATTAAAAAAAGTAAAAAAAAAAATAAGAATTGGACCACCTAATGGCAAATATGGCAACTCATGCAATTAAGTGTGACGTGTCGAAAAGAGAAGCTAGTTGGAGAATAAAAAATTAAAGAAAGCTACAGTCTTTGAACTGCTTCTTATTAAATAAGAAACTTAGATATTTACACAAACCTCTCCCCATCATTTCCATGTCTATAAATATATAACACGGTTCTATAACTCTCTTGCACTAAATAATTAAGCAACTCATTTANAATAATAGGGAATGTTTTCAAAATTTTCAAGTTCTAATCCTAACCTTTTATTTGATATTCTATTCTCTCAAAATTCACAAACTCTCTTAAACTTACCATTTTCCTAAGCCGCTCATCCTGTACAACTTTTCCCACAATTCCCACTAAAATTTTTCTTTTATGCAACAACACTCCCAAAATTATTCAATCTCCGCTAATATTCAATATTTGTAATATGCTCCACATTTTCTATTTCACCAGCCGCTTGAATACTGGCAATATGTAAGTAGTCAAAATTTGGTGCAATCTTCTCCGCAACAATCGAGTCAATCTTCTAGATCCCAAATGAGGAAGATCATGATACTCCAACTTATGTACTAGAAACAAATTCTTGGTTCGTGAAGCAACCATTAATCTTGATATGCCAAAAAACACATGTGTCGTTGCTGAGGGTTGAAAAAAACGTCCAAAGAAGATGTGCAATTGGCTAAGGCTTACATGATAGTAAGTGACGATCCAATTACCGGTAATGATAAGAAGACCGAAGCATTTTGGGTACGTGTTGCCAATTATTATAAAGAAAATAAATATTTTGCTTATATATAGAGATTTTGATATATAAGATCTCACTGGCGTAATACGATACAAGAAAAGGTGTATTGGTTCAATGAGAGCTATAACAATATTTACAGTGTCAATTGAAGTGGTTGTAGCGATGAAAATATATTAAGTCGAGCTTACGAAAAATATCGTATTGAGAGTAATGGTGTAACATTCAATCTTGAGCATTTATGGAGAATCCTCAAAGATCAGTACACTCCACAATCTTCTAATGATTTTTTGTTGAGAGAAAAATTACGATAATTGATGAGTCTAGTGCCACCAATACATAGATTAATCTGATGAAGTGACTCTCAATTGGACAGAAAATAGCTAAACGAAAGGAAAAAGGCAAAGACAAATCTAACTTTGATGAGATGGCCACAAAATATAGCAATACGGTTAAGCATTTTGCCGAGTTAACAAGCTTGAAAAAAACGAAAGTTGAAGTATAAAAAACTACTCTTGAGCGGAAAAAGTAGAGAAATCCTCGAAAAGACTATGTTATTTTAGTATTTTACTGAATAACACAAGCCACGGGACCCCAGAGTAACGTATTTCTCATGATAAAATGTGTCAAATAATTCGACAGAAATGGAACTTATAAAACTTATTATTTCTGTATGTTGTGATTCGCGAAATTGGACTTTTAGTTTGTATTTCATTTAAGTTGTTCTTGTTGGACATGTGAATGTCATAATTGAAAAAATAAAAATGCATTTCTACCCTCTTTTATTAGAAAATGACATAAATGATTTGTCCATTTGAACAACACATGCAGACCAAAACAACTCGGAAGATAAGATATAGGCTATAACTTGTTTATCAATTTTCTGGAACAAATAAATGTGTCAGAACGTAAGACATGGGTTATGACATATTTATCAATTTGATAACACATATCATTGTGTCAGAATCACGTGGTATGAGTTATGGCAATTGTTGAAACTCAATTTGGCTTCGAGTAATATAATGATAAATAAAATAATAAAGAACGGCCCAATAACCAAGGAGCCAAAAATACATGTTAAATAAATATACAAATAGGTTCCCAAAACTGATGACCTAAAAGTCAGCCGGATCCCCAGGTGCCGAGTCCGTCTGCTACGGAGCCGAGCAGAATCGGAGGTGATTGGCATAGATACCATAAAGGAGCCGCCTTCGGGAGACACCATAATTGCCGACAGGAAGACACCAATCGAAACCGTCAAAAGTCCTAAATGGGCCCCCTAGTTGTCACATAACATTAAATGCTAGTGCACTATTTTTATTAATTATTTAATTTATTTAACTCACATGTATATATATATGTGGGGAGGGGGAAAGAGAAAGAGGAGGATGCATTCATCTCTCAACAAAAATAAAGAGAAAAAGATGCTCTATTCTAGATCATTTTCACCCTTGATAATCATACAAAAAAATCGAGTAATTTTTTGGTGTTGATACAATTTCGTGTATCAACAGCAATAATGTTGTCGAAAGATAAGTGGTGGGCAAAGATAAGGCATGACTTATGACACATTTATTAATTTGATAACTTAAATAATTATATCAGAATCACGTGGTATGAATTATGGTAATAATGTTGACAATAATGTTGTCATGTGATAAGGTGTGGGCAAAGATAAGACATGTATTTTGACACATTTATCAATTTGGTAACTCAAATCATTACGGCAGAATCACGTGGTATGGACTATGACAATAATATTGGCAAAACTGTCAGAAGATAAGGTGTAGGCAAAGATAAGGCATGTGCTTTGACACATTTATCAATTTAATAATTAAAATTATTGTGTCAGAATCACGTGGTATAGGCTATGATAATAATGTTGACAATAATATTATCATAAGATAAGGTGTAAATTTTTAATGTATAATATTGAGCTCTTGAAATAAACTGCAATCTAATTGTTATGATGGAAGTATCAAGATTTTTCAGAGTATGAAGTTTGAAAGGAACATAGATAATTTTGGGGAGACTTGCAGTTGACCTCAAAATTGATTAGGCACAAATTCTAATTTGAGGCAGTTAAAAGATTAAGAGTAAAATATGTAACGATTAGCTCTATCTAACATCAATTTTACCAAATATGCATATTTGTAAAAATATGTAACAGTCTAAACGTATAAATGTATAGATAGTAATTTAATAATTTTACCAAATATGCATATTTGTAAAAATATGTAACAGTCTAAACGTGTAAATGTATAGATAGTTATGTGTAACACAAATGTTAGAGTAGGATGAAAATTGTGTTAAAAGTTATAATATATGGAGAAGTTTATTGTTCTTTTCATTTGGGATATTTGGACTTGAGCTATATAGTTGGTCTGAACTTGTATCAATCCAAATAATTTGGCTGAAAATAATCCAAGAATGTATTAAATTTGCTGGTCAAGCACCATAAAATTAATTATTAAAACGAGAGAGAGAATGAAAAAAAGAACCCACTAACCACATAAAATATATGTTTGTGGTGATTTGATTTTACTAAGTTACAAAAATTGGATGAAATATTTTGTATTTGCACGTTGACTTAGAAAATTTATCTCAATTAGGAAAATAACAATGGCAAGGAATTGTTCGTTGCAGAATTGTAATTGTATCATTAATAGAAGCCTTAAAAAATTATTAGACCAACTTTATAAATTATAATGTATTTATTTTTTCTGGCTGCATGATCAGGGAATTTGGTCCAGGTAGAACATATTCTTTTAAATTGTGGCCTACAGCAAAACCATCACAATCATCCTAATATTGTCCTAAAATCAATGTTGATAGTTATCGATCGTGTCCATTTTTTAATTCGGGTCTGTGTGTGTGATATCTATGATTCAAAATGTGTTGACTCTCTCCAAATAATCAAATGTCTAGCTCTATAAAGTAGACATAGCTTGTTGATTTATCTTCTTAATAATAATAATTTATCTTTGAGTTTACTTAAATATATGATTGCCCGCCATTTACATGCTTATTTATTATGAAGTGTGATTCATTACTTAACTTTAACTTTAACGTAACTAGTATTCGACCTTGTGCATTTGCACAGATGTAAATAAAATTAAATATTATAAATTATATTTATGTATATAATATAAAAATTATAAGTTATATAATTGTATTATATTTCAAACATATAGTATTATAAGTTATATTTGTGTATATAATATTAAAATTAAAATTATATAATAGTATTATATTTTAAAATTTGATCACTGGTTAAAATAAATAGTACAAACGATTTGATTGAATACGAATCACTATATTGATTGCATAAAATGCAATAAATATATACTTTTTATAATTTTGAGTGATCATGACCAATTAATTAGCTGAAAAATATTATATTTATTATAACAATTGCTTATGTGATTTTAAGAAATTTTACTATAACATTAAAAAAATTAATTTATTAATAAACAACATCTTCATCATATAAAAAAATATTGATTTTAGTGTAAAATATAATTTTATGTAACTTTCATATATTATTTAGTATAAAATATAATTACTAATTTTAATATTAACTATTATATTATTCAAGAAAAAATATAATTATTAATCAATTAACATAAAACATAATGATTTTTGTCTTAATTAACCCAAAAAATGTAATGAAATATTTTCTTATTAATGAGATTGGGTGTATTAATGGCACATAAATAAAATTTATTAGGTTCTATTTATTAAGTTTTATTAATGATTTGCCACATAGGTAAAATTTATTAGGTTTTGCTTAGCTAGCAATTATATATATATATATATTTAAACATTTCATGGGAATTCTCAACTATCATCATTTACATGCGACCACCTAGTTATACATCTGTTAAAGCAATAGATATGATCCGACAATATTGAGACTTTTTTTTTATATAAACTTGCTAACATAATGAGCTTTTTTAGTTTGACAGTTCAGTTGGAGTTTGATTATACACACTCTTAACACAATTTAAGTCTAATTTAAATTTTGTTTTGTACTTATGGAGTATTTTCACTGACGACAATCATATTTTTTTTTTATTTTTTTTTTTGATTAAATATGACGACAGTCATATTTACAATACACATCAAGTAGCAAATTTAAAGAGAGATGCCTGCTACAAAATTTTGACCATCTATGCAGACAAACGGCTGGTACGTACATAATCAAATTTTATTTCACGGTCATTCACGACTTTCTACACATCGTAAGAAAGTGCTATATATCTAATTATCCCAAGGTAAATCTTGCATACAACTTAAAGTACCCAATTAATCTTATCTGCATATGATACGTGAAATTCCCATAATTTCCCCCCAAAACAATTCATCTCTTCCTCACCAACTGAAAAGGGAATTATATTAACCTTAGGATGTTGAAATGGAAAGTTATTCTGCCGGCAACTGCTCGGGAAAATATAATGATGACTAGTTATTACGACTCATCACATGGCTCGAGTGGCAAAAAATAACAGAACAAGTCAATCCCCCTCAACAGAAAAAGGAAAAAACGAAGGATAAAATGTAAAAGAGGGAAAGAAAAACTCATCCAATTAATTGAGAGACCTATCACCGTCTCAAACGAGTCCCCTCTGTTTGAAGACTACGAGCATTGCAGTTCCTATTTTCGCAGGGGACTCGACTACAGTAACCCCAGCTTCTCTCAGGGTTTTAATTTTGTCTTGTGCTGTTCCCTTTCCTCCGGATACAATAGCTGCAGGTATGACAAAAACCGGCTAGTCGGTTGGTACTAAATTCCAAGCATAAATCACAAATCAAGTATACAACACAGAGAGCTGACTCGTTCGAGAATTATATATAAATAGGGTTGTATAAGGATCAAAACTAGCTTGAATTCAAATATTTTAACTTTGTCTGTCATTCCCAAGCTAAAAGATTGAGTGAAGCAGGAAGTGTAAAATATAAGTATAGTTCAATAGCTCTCTCCAGCTTTGACATGAGTTTACAGGGAAAGTAGTAATATACAGATAGCTGGATCTTTTGTGATTCATGTGAAGCAAACGTGTAGACACTGAAACCAAGTCATACCATAGATAAAAACGTGTGTGTGGATTGATAGACAGACGGACAGATAATATGAGAGGGCAATAAATTCATAGGATATTAGAAAAATACAGTACCTCCAGCATGACCCATTCTTCGACCTGGTGGAGCGGTGAGTCCAGCAATAAAAGCGACAATAGGCTTGTTGGTCCCACTTTCCTGTTACATTGAGAGAGAGAGGAGAGAGAGAGAGAGAGAGAGAGAGAGAGAGAGAGGGAGGGAGAGTTCATACATTATCAAAAATGAAACCAGCAGCAGGTAATCAGAAATCCAAAACAGTCGGAAAAGCCAAAACTTTTGTGTGAAGACATGTAGAGAATAACAAAGGTCTAAATCAAATCATCTATCAGAAATATGTAACAATCTTGTACAGAAGAAGCTAAAAAAAGATGTGGATGGCTGTAGAAAGGTTTTGCTGTATTTTCTCTCGAAAAACAATCTTTGTTCACATCAGTTGGTTGCTTGGAGAAAAAAAGGGAGGACATAGTAATGATCATTCTCATTTTAACGCATCAAATCATTATTAACTATCAAACACCACTATGGACTACATCATCCAGTCATACACAAGTGGACATTTCACTCTCTTATTTCTCGAATTACAAGCATTGACCAGGAAAATTTATGAGTACAACAGTATTAAAAACAAAGTTAATCTTATTGCCCCCGCTTGGTTATAAAGGATAAACTAGATCATTTACATAGTTGGACGGAAGTTCAATCAGAACACTCAATTGGCTTAAATTAAAACAGGTAAGTTCTTCAGAAGCTAAATCACAACTCAACAATCAATTCCAAGTACAACTATAAATCATTACAAGACTACACAAAGGGTCTGTACATAAATACAATTCTATACCCTATATTCCTAATCAAGGCATATACATAACTGCTGCTTTGAGAGAAAATGTCCAGAGAGGCAGTACTTTTGTTCAACAACATGCAACTGTGAGAAGAGCACTTACCTTTATAAGGGCTGCAGCATCCTCCTCTGCTGTACCACCGATCTCACCAATTAGGATGATGCCTAAAATGTGAAATACAAAGCAATTGTATCTTAGCTATCAGCAAAAGAAAGGGTTCAAAATCTTAGTAGTAACATATTTTTCTTAATCATAGGAAAGTATATAAGTTACTGAGCTTAAATACTATACAATTTAGTTAACATCTATCTACTAACAGAAAATCAGTCATTTGATGCAGACCTGCCCACCTAAGACTGATCATAAACATAATATTGCAGTTTCATGCCAGTCAATGCAATAAAAACTGATCAAAGGATGGCTGAGGACAACTATCCCTGTCCAAATTCATATTCATCAATGAAGCAAGATGAGCCTTATTGTTGCTAGTTTTTGTTATTATACCCCTCGTATTCTTCGTAAAGGAATAGGATACAAATATTTGTCAGGAGTTCATCAAATAAAGCTTAGCCAAACACTGGTGACCCGTATGATGTGCCCAACGCTAGCGTGTGGCCCATTACCAGAATATATCTCCAACTATAGCAAGATGAATTATGTTCAACGACTAACTTTCTAGCATCATCAAACAAACAAGGTTCAGAAAGTCTTTTGCAAAATAATCTATATTAGCCATCACCACAGCCAGCGGCAGGAGTTTATCACCACAATTCCTACTTGACTCGTTGACTTAACATTTGAGTTATATTTCAGTGCACGAACCCCAAAGGTCGGAGAAGTTGGACTTTGGAGAAGCCAATTATATTCATTTCCCACCACAAAGTAAATTTAATATTTTCGGTGGACAAAAGTTATTATATATGACCTGAAATATATTTGCGACAAGTATTTCGAAAAACTAAAAAGTCAAATACATTTTACGGAGTGGTGTAACGAGGTTATTATGAGGTAGCAAATGAGCGAATAGCCTAATTAAATTTACCTTCTGTCTGGGGATCCACAAGAAACTTTTCTATGCAATCAACAAAATTTGTTCCATTAAAAGGATCTCCACCAATTCCCACACATGTTGACTGCCCAAGGCCAACAGCAGTTGTTTGGAATACCTAAACATATATAGAGTTATTCAGATAGCAGCCAAGATAAAAATTGCAAGATATATTATTATCAGTATGCACTCATATTAAATATTAAATACTTTAACTTTAGAACACAACAACAAGAAATCTCACCGCTTCATAAGTCAATGTGCCCGATCGAGAAACAATCCCAATACGTCCTGGTTTGTGAATGTATCCAGGCATAATGCCGATTTTACACTCCCCTGGCTTGATAATTCCAGGACAATTTGGTCCAATTAGCCGAGTTTTTGACTGCTTATTAAGAGCAGCCTTCACACGAACCTGACGTTTTAAAATAGGACATCAAATAACAAGAAGTGTAACCAGATATAAGCTTACATAGAAGTTTTGTCACTATTGACTACTATATTTGGTCATCAAATCCACGACATGAAAAACCATGACAAAGTCAGAAACCTCATACAGAGGACGTTAATATGTCATGTAACAGATTACAAGAAATCACGACTCAATCAAACAAGATTCAACATGATGCCAAAGACATCATTCATGCTTCTATTGTGGTATGGATAAATAAAAAGCATCATCACATTAGCAGTAACTATTGGAAATAAGAAATAGGTAGGAGCTTTCCTTTATGTTTTCTCAATTTGATGTTACAAGTAGCCACTTAGCAAGTTTTTTTTAACGCTTCAACATTGCCTTTCCAAACTTCAACCTGTAATAGTAAAATGGGTTCACATAGTATATATGAAACAGATACTCTTCTATCATTATTTGAATGTCACAGCAACTATATCCATCCTATTGTATTCAAAGACCCCAATGTGAAACATGCAATATTCCAATTAACAGTTTAAGCAAGTTTGACTGATCAAACTTGTCGTCTATTACATTAACTAACAAACAAGACCCAACCTTTTACACTTAAGACAAGGAGTTTCCATCTGCTAACCTACTCTGCAACAGAAGATTGTTATTTACCTGGAAAAGTAATCATTATTCCGCTAAAAAAATTTGAAGCATATGAACTTCGTCTAAATTTGCATTTTACTACTACAATTCAAAGAGTACCCACAAAAATTATATACATACACAGAAGCTATTTCAATTAGATCACGCTGAAGAAAGACCACTAAATTTGGCATTGTTGACAAAAGACAAAGGTATGTTACCATGTCATGTTGTGGTATTCCCTCTGTGATGCAAACGACCAAATCTAGTTCAGCCTCCATCGACTCCATGATGGCTTTAGCAGCAAAAGGTGGCGGAACATAAATGACCGAAGCATTGGCCTTTGTTTCCGCTTTTGCTTCAGCAACAGAGTTGAAAACAGGAAGGCCCAAGTGCTCTGTTCCACCTTTTCCAGGGGTCACTCCTCCAACCTATAATGGATATAATAAGTCATATTTTTCACATTGGAAACAAATAAACACGCTTTCAACAATACTCATTGATCCGATTATCAGAAATTCATTTTCATTCCTATATTATCAGATATTAATTTTACAATGGATCAGGGTTGAACATGGATTAATGGATTTGTGGAGGGGTTTGGTGAGAAATATTTGGAATCCACAATAACAGGTACTCGTACATGCACATGTATATATGTGAGTGTTTGTGAGCATTTGCGTCTGTGCTTGTATATGTGCATCCAATATATATGTAATTTTAATATTTGGTTCCACTACAGAAACTCTAACTTAAATTAAATTTTCAAAATCAAATCGCACAAAAATATTTAGAATCACGGTATGAATAAGAACTTTACACATAAAAATCTACTGAATCAATATCAGTATACTAATAAAGAGACGTATTCAACTTAAGCGATCAAATGCTAGCACAAACTAGATATTTTTACTTATGTACCACAATATTCAAATAATAATTGCCTCAAATGATTTTCTCGATGGGTTAACTAATTAAGAGACATCTATAGAAAAAATTAGCATGACCAGCATAGAAATTTTTATCTTCAAAAATAGATATTCATCATTACTAAAAAAAAATTGCACTAAAGTCCAGTCATTATGAATGTAGGTTCTGCTATAATCTTACGTATCTGCATCCATCAATCACAAGAAAACTGGATTCCATTTTTTGAAACATGATCAAGTATACCATTCACTATAGCAACTAAAACCACCCAAACAAACAAATTAATCCTAGACAACCATGTTATCTAGATTATATGTTCATGTATATCCATATATGTTCAAATGCACTTGAAGAACAAGGGGAACCCATTTGTTAACTTCTGAACGAGTTTAGCCTAATACTTAACAATACAATTCATAGAATAAGTATATATGTACTTCACACACACATACACACACACATTGATTGGGTAGCTCTTGCTTCAATTATTCAGCTCTGATTAGCAACCATTTCCTCATAATAAAAGCTCTAGAATATTTCAAGCGCCTAAGGATCCATTATGAAACCAAATTTTGAAAAGAATAACCAAATAAATGAATGTAGTTCCATTCACGATCTCCTATTAGAAAAAAAAAAGTCCATCACGAAATACCAAGGCAATAGGAGGAAACAACTGGCAAAATAAGATTCGCAAACTAACAACTGACTACATAAATCATGGAAGCATTTCGTTATCTTTTTCCCTTCCCAAAGTCTTGGCTTAGTAAACTACAGATAAAACCAAATCGGACGGATAAAGTACCATTTTGGTACCGTACTCGATGGCCTGCTCGGTGTGAAATGTACCATTCTTTCCGGTGATGCCTTGGCAAATGACGCGCGTGTTCTTATCGACGAAGACGGCGGGCGGCGGCGACGGCGATCCGAAATTCCGGTGCTGGTGCAACTGCTTGGGGCACAATAGCTTCGTCGACAAATCGCCGATCAGTCTCCTGGCTTGACGGGCCATGCGGGATGCTCGACTGCTCTTTTTTCACAGATGTGTAACTTTCTTAGGTTTAGCAAAAATGAATTCACTGATTCACTGTGCTCGAAGTAGACAATAATATATGCTCTACAAACACGGTATTTTCGATATTTGATATGCTCAATGAGCCCATCAAGGGGTTTTACTCTTTTCTTTTTTCTTTTTTTTTTTTGTCATTTACACATATACTACAAGATTCAACAAAAATTAGAACTCTACCATCCCACTAAATTTAATTGCGTGTTTACCTAAAATATAAGATTTAATTAGATTAATTCCTACGGTCACTTACAACGTCCCCCTGATTTACGCTTGATTAATATTTCAATGTCCCCTTAATTTGGGCTTGATTACTGTTTCACCTTATTAAAAAAAAACCCAAAATTTACGTCCAAAACCTTGAAAAATATACACTCAAAAAGTTATCGTGAATTTGAATGCAAAAACAAGTTGATCGAAAATCTGAAAAAATGTATATGTTTAATTTATATAATGTATATATTACACATATGAACTGTATATGTTTCGTTTATTTAACGTATATATTATTATACATAATGTTTACACATACAAAACTGTATATGTTTAGTTTATATAATGTATATATTATCATCCATATTTATTTTTTCTGTTATTTTTTTTCTCCATTGGGTCGTCTCTTTCAACAAATCCTTCGTCAAGTTACATCTTATAAATGTCAATTTCTTCGTCTTCAACAAAATCAAAATCTTCGGCTTTGAAAATGTTGTGTTTTTAAGGATGAGGACGGAGAAATCTTCGGAGAAATATGCGGAAGAGGATAAGGAGGAGGACGAAGCTTCTTAAGAGGCTAAAACCTCCGAATTTACTCCCTTCAAGGAGGAAACCAACAAGGCTGACGAGTTAATCGACTCAGAGAAGAAGCCACTGGACAAATTCAAAGTTCTAATCCAGGAGGAGCTCAGCTAACGCGAGTTCTCCGCCCCGCCGCCGCTAGCCACAGTCCAGGAGGAGGAGAAAGATGAGGAGCCGAAAGCGGAGGAGAAAAAAGAAGAAGAAAAGAGCCTAAGACCGAAGAGAAAAAAGACGACGACCCAAAAACCGAATCTTGCAGAGAAGCTCCGCCAGTGGCGGTGGAGCCAGAGAATAAAGCGGAGAAGTCCGAAGAGAAAGTGGAGGCCACAGAGGAAATAAATGAAGCCATCGTCCCTCTTATCATATGCCTCGGGGAGCCGTTTTTGGAATTGATAAGATTCCCATTAATTTAGCTACTAATTGATTATTTAAGTCAAATATTGATATCTGGTAAAAATGCAAATATAAACTTGATCTTTTGCTATAATGCTAATATTTTTACACTTGTATTATTTAAATTAAAATTAAACTTTCTAGTGTAGGAGGTAATTTTCTCTTTTTTATTTCTCCAAAAATATATATCATTTTGGTTTAAATGAACCGAGTATAATAATATTAATTGGTATGTGATATAAATAATTGCATAATAATACTTTAATATTTTTTCAATTAATTAATTGGTTTTGATACCTTAATTTGTAAAAAGAAAAATTCATTATATTTTATGTAATCTTTATATATGATTCATATAAAAGTAAAATAATTTATAATTATTTTGTTCATTTTTACTAATGATCAAATTTATAAAATATGATATGCATATTATATAATAATATTCGTATATATATATCTCTATTTGTACATGCGCACATGCTCGATTATAAGTTTATATAATTTTCTAGATAAATACGCATTTAATGTTGTCGTATTTTTTTTTATCTATTTTTATTAAATACTTATTCTTTATATATATATATATGTATATATATATATATACATATATATATATATATAATTATCTCAAATTGAACCAAATTCTGTCAAATATGTGATAGTGCAATAATTTGATCCGTCCAAGGTTATGTTTGATAAAACAAGCTGATAAGCTGGCTAGTAGTTTATAAGTGAATTTCGAGCTTATAACTTATCGCTGAATAGCTACCTGATATGCTAAATATGTTTGGTAAAATTATATATTTAAATATATACATATATATATATCTATGATTATTTTTAAAATAGTAACAGTTTCCCACAAAAACAAATCCTATTTACTTTATCTCGAAATAAATTAATCAATATATGATATAAAGTGGACAAATTTATTTAAATTTAATGCATTTTTTTTAGGAAATTTGCTGGAAATTATAAAATATATGGTTTACTTATTGCCTGAAATGTGCATGGTAATATATTGATTTTTTTGTCGTGGGTCTCAATTTTGTAATTCAATTTTTTGTATGAAATTACCGTAATGAAATTGCCGTAACTCCAACAAAATAATATGAACTAATATTTTGATATAATATGCATGTCTCGATGTTTTATTTTTATAAAAAATGCTCTGGTCAATTTTTTATTTGTATAATCAGTGGCTCTCGATTTAATTCATTTTTTGCTACGACATTTTAAATAATTTATTGTGTGAAATGCACTGTTCAATTTTTTTTAGCGTGATAAAGAGTCGATTTTTTCGGGTATAAAAATCTAAACAATATAAGACCGATTATTTTAGAACAAATGTGTGTCTCAATTTTTTAATTTTATTTTTTGTAAGCTTTGGATTCGATATTTTATGTATGATAAATCTAAAGAATAATATGACGGATATTTTTATTATTAGAGTGTAAGTCAAATTTCCAATGAGATCTTATAAAAATGTCATTGCATATTGTATTAGTCATTCTATAACAAAAGTCTTTCACAATTTCCTTTATTAGAGTAGTATTTTGATAAATTCATATTTATATTATTACATGGTTTATGTGCAATAAAATATACCTTTATTAGAAAAAATGTTTACTAAACATAATAATAATAATTCAAAAAAACTATATATATATACACACTAGTGGCCTACCTAGTTTGCAAATTGCAATCATGAAATTGGTCGCATTTAACTTGCTGTAAATATTAACAAATTTTTTATTTTAATTATTCACATTTATTTTTTTATATTATTAATTTATTTATAAAATATTTCTTGGGACAACCTGTGTTGTCACTTCAAAAGAAAAAGGCTAAAAAAATTTAAAAGTGCGTGACTNAGCAAATATACATAAATAATTGAAAAACTCAATAAAAATACATACGAGGTATCAACAGACACCACTAGAACCAGAGCAAAGCCTGAGCCAACCACTTGGAATTACACAGGCGACCAAGGGGATAAAACTCCATCAAGGAGAAGCACACAACACCAAAACAAAACTCCATAAAGGAGACACTAACTCCACAAATGAGACTGGGTGCTAGACCAGCTGGACTTGACGAAACAAGAAAAACAAAGAAACTAAAAACGATGCACTACGTACACCTAATAAACAAAGTAGAATAAACCCCCTCCCCCCTCTCCCCCAAAACCTAGCAGGTAACCTCCACAACCAACCAGACTGGCAACTGAGTCCCATACTGCAACAACGAACCCAACAGAGCAACAAATCTAAACTTTAAACTCGAAAACTGCAGTGGAACACGAACCACCTAGACAGATCTGGCAAGAAGGCCGTTCTTAGTCCAAATATGTACTCCAATGAACTTCATCACCGGGGAAGAGATGAGTAGCCGCCACGAAACATACCGGAGGCTCAGAGACATATCCCACAGAGGCACCTCCCTCAGAAGCCCACAATCGAACGACCTGGTACCCTGCTGACCGGCGTCAGGCGGATCGTCGGACCGCCCGAGGCTGAAGACTGACGGGCTGCACCACTCCATGGGTCGAAACTGAGACGCGAGAGACCCGATTCTTCGGCTAGTCACCGAACACCCACGACAAGGGCCAAACCTCGGCGATCGGTTACCCCCTCCAAAGTCGTGGCCATTGACAGAGCGGCAAAACTTGAAGCCGGCCAAAACATCCACCAGACTCCAAAGGGGCAGAAAAGAGAATCCCGACCGTGACATAGCCAAAGACGGCCCGGTGGGTGCGGAGGCCCGCCTCACCGTAAAAGAGGGGGCGGCGGTGGACAATTACAATTAGGGTTTTGAGAAGAAAGTAATTGGGATTTCTTCCTCCAATGAGAGAGAGAAAAAGATACTTCTGATGCACATCTATCTTATCATGATATGAAGATTTTTTACTTATTCAGCAAAAATAATGTGTACATATTATATAATTAAACATCTGGTTGAACAAAAACTCAAGTAAAATAACGAAGAATACCTATTGTTTTAGCTTGCATGTTAGTGGATAGAAACCCAAATCTTCTCAACTTTAATATGCCTAATTCTCCTGAATACGATAGCCCGTATTCTATAAATTCCCGATGTAGTCAAAACATACCTCTCGCGCTCAACCAGTTTCCGAGAATGCAATTGCATTTTTCTACCCTAATTTCCAAAATTTTCCATATCAACCCCAATTCTAATGTGTCCTATCAATGGTACTTGTCTCCAAGCTTTTTCGCAAATTAAGTTGTGTTACATTTTGCTAAAATGATAATTATTCTGCTACAAATTTTGTAACTGGTGGTGGATCTTTTATGTTTGGTATTAGCAGGTTAATTATATTCACCATGACGATACATGAATAATCACTTCAGCTAAATTTTCTGGCTTTGAAGAGATTGTATCACTTCACTTTTGGAAGGTCAAACACCTGATTCTTCATTTGTGACAGTTTAATGAACAATTTGATTTGGATGTAATGTGAAGATGAAGCACTTATTTAAAATATTTTGTGCACTCTTAATATAACTTTTATTAATCTCATGAACCTCTCCAAACAACACAAACACAATCAAGTCAACGAAGTTATGTAAAAGATTGTCCTAACAATCATCATCAAGTGGATCTCTTTAATTCTGATTCTTATCTTCAATTTCTTCTGGACTTTTTTCGCGGTGGGTCTTTGGTGGTGAGGGACACGGATGTGTGCAACAGTACACACAGTATTGGAGACATATGTTCGGAATGCCACCGCCAACACACTCCCGTCGGCATTTATCGGCACACTCATCTTTTGGTTGATTGACCAAAATCATGGAACTTGTTGTGATGATTATCATGTTTGATATCACTAAAAATAAGAATGTTGTTGCCATAACAACATTAACCCCCTTCATTTTATTTTATTTTATTTTATTTTTTTTGTGTGGATCTCTTCTTTTCTATTTGTGGTGGTGGGTGAAGAAGCATTTTGTACTCGGTTTTAAAGTGGGTTGAGGCCTCTTCTTGTGTTGTGCTTATTGATAATTTAGAAAATTGCATTACAGAAAACCACCAATCAAATTTGTTGGATTTGTTATGAAGGAATTGTGTGTTTATTGTTATTAATACTATGATTTGGTAGGAATTTTTAAGTTTTGGTTTAGATTTCATACACAAGTTAAATATACGAAATCGCACGACTAAATCAATGGACGTAAGATTGTTAGGATGCCTGGATATAAGATATCTTAAAAAAAATTAATCATTTTTAATCAATTACATTTTTTTAAAAACTTAAATCTAATTCAACTTTAACCCAATCATCCTCAATATTATTAGTATATTTAAATAATATCATTTAATTATTCTTACACATTACATCAATTTTAATTAAGTATTCATCAACTCATATAATTTAACTAACCATTACTTCACATCTTCTATTTCATACTTTTACATCAAATCAACTTTCATTATTTTATTTTAAATATTATTTTAATATAAACTTAAAATTCCACTAACAATTAACCATACCAAAATTTTCAAAATTAACCAAACCAAACTTAAAAATCAAAACCAAAAAAATTTATATCCAAACATCCAGGGTTTTACTAAAATCAACAAATTTTAAGGAGAGTGCATCGTATTGAGAGTGATATTTAAAAAAAAAACTTATAAAAATCCAAGACTTTTTTCGTTTGGAATTTTGAGTGATATTTTGCTACTGTTTGAGATTTGAGACTTTGTAAGATTTTCAAATCTAGGAGGAATCCTATGAAATGTTAAGTATGAAGGTGAGATTTGGAGTGAAATTTCGTATATAGTTTTTTCTTTTGAAATCCTAGCGAATTTTAAAAAGTCTTACCAAATCATAGTCTCAAATAAGTTAATACTTCATGATTTTGTAAGACTTTTTAAAATCTCAAATGAATAATTAAAGTCTAAAAAATCTTTAAAATGTATTTAGAAATTACAAAACGAATACACCCCCCTAAGACTTGTGGATTTCAGTGGAATTCTTAGAAATCTCATATTTGGAGGTGAAATTTGGTATGCGATCGTGTATATATATATATATATATATATAATTTTTTTTTAAATCCCAACAAATCTTAAAAATTTCAGACAAATTCAAGTGATAAATAAATTAGCTCATGACTTTTTAAAACCCTTTGAGATCTCAAATGAATACCTCGTGATTTTTCAAGACTTCTTAAAATCTTAATCAAATACACCAAAATTCTTAAAATTTCAAGAAGTTTTTAAGAATCCGGAGTCTTTGATTTAAAAAAAAAAAAAATTGAAATGTTACTCTAAATCTTACATGGATACACCCTCATTGGTCTTTATAATAAGATTTAGAAAACTGACCAATTAGAATTACTCTAATTATTGCAATAGAATTGTATGTATATTGTTTAGGTTTTTTATAGGTCGAAAAATGTGCGCGTTTTGTATGTTTAACAGTGTATTTTTGTACACTTAATTTATTCGCACGTTTATATTTTTCGACTTATTTATTATTTAAATAGATTTATTTGTTTTGATGATTTATGTGTTATTTTCAGATTTTGGAGTATTTTGTGGTTGCGAAGCATTGGACGGAAGTTCACGTGATCAATTATCGGAGTTAGCCCAAGGACACATTAGGCCCACTTTCATTATGTAGTGGGCTGGTCATTTTTACCATAATAATAATTAAAAAAAAAAAGGAAAGAGAAAAAAAAGGAAAGAAAGAGTTTGGGCCAAAGAATAAGGACTCACGGATAGTGTGTGGAACTTGATTATTAATCTTGGAGGAGTAACTACTTTCTATTTGCTGAGGAGTGTAATTGGCTGGGGAGAATTAACTAAAGAAGATTCCACTCATCACACGCATATTATCAGATTGAAGAATTATATACGGGACACAATTATTTGAGGAAGAGAGCCGAAGGAAATTATTTTCCCAAGAGAACTCGTACAGAGGAGAAGACCGCAGACAGAAAACAGAGGACAACTTATGTACGGACTGAGATCCACGGAAGGAAGGAGAGAAGGCTACATGCGGAAGGAAGCCCATCCGCACACGATGGAGATAAAATTCCCTCTCTTTTATCTAGTATTTATGTTTATTAATATGTTAGATTAGGAATTTTATCCAGTTTTAGTGATGTTTGAACTCTAAGTTTGATTTGTTTATGAATCGAATGATCTTTATTTATCGTTGATTAATCTAGATGACGTATTTATTTTTGTTGATGAGTTGATTCATGCTATCTGAGTTTAATATTTATAAATTATGGTGCTTGATTTAGTTTGACCACCTAGGTTGAATATTCATAGTTTAATTGATAGATTCGAGGCTTTAATCCGTAATTGTTATTGTTTTCGTTTCGTTAATAGTAAACTAGGGGTCGTGCATCTCTAGGGTACTAGCATGAACATAAGTTAAATGGTCCGAACTTTTGTGTCTGTTGTTTGAGGTCCAATTGCAGCCGATGGACGGTTGCTGAAGGTGGTAGTCCTTTGCAGCGGCTGTGGCAATCCCCCCGAAGACGAACGGCGGTGAAGCTGCTGCTCCACGAGTAGCGCACGGTGTGCGACTGAAACGGTGTCCGACGAGAACATGTTTAAAGTATCCCTGATAGAGACTCGCAGCCCGCCAATGTAACATGATACCATCTGGTCGTTCGTTTCTCGTACATCGACTCTCGTGAGGAAATTATTGAACTCCTTGGTATATTCATCGATAGCCCGTGTCCTTTGACGAAGATTTTTGCAATTGTTGATACATAGTTCGGACATAGTTAAAAGGAAAAAATGCTTGTTCGATGTGTTCACAAAATTTGGACCAAGCCGTAACTTTGGACTTACCCATGCGATGCCGCAAACCCTTGAGTTGCTGCCACCACGCTGCCGCCTGGCCCTGCAGGTGTGTAGCCACGAGGCCAACACAGATTCAACCGACACCAGTCGAGGAATTCTGCTACGTNCCCCCCCCCCCCCCCTCTTGAACTCGGGGATGTCCACGCGGAAGGAGCCCTCCCAACGCCTGTCGCCATCCTTGTCCACCACCTGGTCGCGCTGCCCGAACAGGTAGATATCCTCATATGTCACGTCCGAATCCTCGCCGTCGTTGGAGTGTGGCGGCGATTGAAATTGCCCGTCTCCGCCGAAGTCGTGACCCCCGTGGCCTCCTCGCTTTCCTCCGCGATCGTCGGCCCTCACTCGGGGTTCGTCGCAGTTCATCTGCTAGCCCTGTGCATTTGTATGAAAACCAGAAGAATATCTTCCATCCTGGCAGAAAGGTCAGCTATCTCGCGACCGATCTTTTGAAATTGTCTGCTAAATTCTTCGACTTGGCGATTCAACGATTCGATGGCACCGTCGCGCCTGTCGTCGAGAGTCTCTCTTCGTGACGGCATCTGTCCCAGTCTCTGGATACTAATTGATGTAGCGCAACGTCAACAAAAGAGACTATGAGTCTCAAAATCTTACATTATTTTCATTCAAAGCCGCCGGCTATGGCCAAGAAAACATATATAAATAGAGTTCTAAGCACTCTTAATATCTATCTTGTTAGACAAGTAAATATGAAATTAATTATTCTTCTACCAACTTAATAACATAAATAAAGGAAATAATAATAACTAAAGAAATAAATAATCAAACTACTAAATAAGTAAATTAAAGGCGAGATTCGATCGTATTTTTCTAGAAAGGCAAGCGTGATCTCGTCCATGAATATACCTGTCTCGTTTACTTGAAGGGATGAGATAGGTCGGGATATGATGGTTTAATCCCATGAGTTAGCTTTACTAAATATGTGATTGTTTGGACATTCAAAGGTATAATGAATATTATACATGTGATTTTTTGGACAAAAATGTCATTTTTGTGTTAGGATAAAAATATCCCCTTAAGATATGATTGAAATATCCTCTCAGTCACGGGTACAGACGTGTGCCCACTTGGCACATACACGACACATAGGATTTATCATGCTACTAAACATCGGATAACGTTAGTTAAAGAATGTTATCTCATCCTAGGTAAGTAAAAAATACTTAGTTTTTACTGTTCTAATTTTGTACTGTTCTAACTTACACCTTGATGTAATATAAACGGAATTGAGAGTAGAGCTCATTTAAGCCATCATCGTCAGATCTGTTCATCAAGACTGCTATGGTAGGTTTATTTGTTGTATGTAAGCTCTTTTCTATATACAACAAATAAATCTACAGCAAATTCCTCTTAAATCCCTAAGTCCTCTTTTAAATTCATGTTCAGTCCCCTATCATTATTTATTTCCACTGCACTCCCCACCCCCTTATATTTGTTCCATTTTACTCCCCATATAAATACAAGTAATAAACTTATTCACTTTCTTTTTATTTTCTGAAATTTCACATAAAAAAAAAAGAACTCTCCGTCCAAAAAAAGAACTCTGCCGCCGACGCCACACGAGCAAAGCTCGACGCCAAACCCTCCGTCGTTCTTCGCCAATTTCGCGCCTCGTTCGCCACACGAGCAAAGCTCTGTCGCCGCCCGTTTGAAGCGACGAACTCTCCGTCCAAAAAAAACGAACCTCTACATCGTCGGCCGACTCCATCTCCGATCTTCTTCTCCGTCGAAGCCCGGCGCAACAATGGCATCTTCCTCTAAATCAAAAGCAGAATCCCCTCAGAATAAAGCTTCTTCCTCTAAATCGAAGGTAATGATTTGGAATTCATCTTCAATTAGGGATTTTTATAAATTAGGGTTTTTTTATAAATTAGGGATTTTTCATGAATTATATATTTTGACATGCATAATGGTACAAAGTTGGTATATTATCAATTGAACCACCCGCACACCAGAAAAGTCGAGCTATTGTTCATAATTTGTTCTCAATTTATGTCCATTAAATGTAGATGTTGTGTATGAATTTTTGGTATTTTCTGTGATCATTGTAAGTAAATTGAGTGGCTTCACATAAATGAAAGTTGATGCTGTGTATGAATTTGATGCTGTGCATGAATTTTTCCAATTTTTTGGTTCGAAATTGTTATGATTTGTTTTTTTTTTTT